TTTTTTTTTACCAAAATATCAATAACCAACTTTAGACATAGCCACCATGACCACCACAACTACATATACTCAGCATTATTGCATTAACAAAACTTACTATCGCTGTTGTTTGCCTTTTCATCTCAGATTCATGTTAACACTACTCGGTTAATTTTATTGTACGCATCGCCCACCATGGTATAATTCAATCCATGCTCAAAGTCATACCATTCTTCTGTTATAGCACTGCACTATAGTCATCACCACTAAGCTGACCACTGCCGCTGCGATTGCATCTGATACAGAACCATTTTACTCAATCGGTATGATCTAGTGAATACTGCTGCTGCAGTAGTATAATCAATTTTCGGAATTAACCTATAACTGCTAGTATTCTCCTGTCATTCTCAGCAATATTGTTCTATATAACACAACAAATTCAATCACCCATCCTGGATGGATTCTAGATTTTGATGTCCTTAAATTTCTTGTAATTTTCTAAACTAATTGGTTAATTAATTAAAGTTTTTCAAAGTCAAATGAATATATAGCACATTTTAGTTGGAGCTTCCTGGTAAGCAGTCTTGATACTTGAGATACTTTGAACTTTTCAGAGGCATCTTGAAATTTTCACTTGATGTTATGAAATGAGAAGACTTTCTCAACAGGAAGTCTCTGTTTCATTAGTGGTTATATTTTCCTTCATAGGATGGCTGATCCTGAAGGAAAGCTTCCTGAGGAATCACTGGATGCTGTTGCCCTAAAGCGGTGTTTTGACAGAAAAGGCTTCATGTGAGTAGTAATGTTGGGCTTGAAATTTCACTTCACTTTTCTTCTCCATCTTGCTATAGGTTTATTGCCTTTAAATGTTATGGAATCATTATAACCTTTCATTATTTTTCTTTCATTCCTCTTATTTTTAATAATATTAAACAGAAATACGTAATCTTATTCCCGAAAGTTTGTGATATGCGCATCATTTTTTCCTTAATGGTTGAACTCTGTCCTAGTTATGAACTCTGACTTCTATATTTTAATGTATAGGGAATTTGCATGTTTGGGATTTCTAGGTCTGTATGCTGATAGTCAGAATGTCTAGCACATATATGCTAATACAATATGTACCTACTATAAAAGAACTTATTATCACATTTGTTAAATTAATTTTATGCATACTAAATTGTTTTAACGTTTATTTCGGTGTTCAAAAGAGTGGCCTAAATTCTGAAGAGATTAAATTACTTCATATCGCTTGTATATGATCACCAGATATGTATCTTCAGTTTTATTTTAGAGAAATGCTACAT